ACCCCTGCATATAAGGATTTGATGACCCAGTCATAAAAGGCACCAGGTTGGTTTGACAGGACCTACCGCTAATGAACCCGTGTTGGTTGCCCCTAAGCGTAATCTCCCCTGCTGGCCCCTTGTGGACATGTGCCAGGATAACTCTCTCAAAAGGCTTGCCCAGGACTGAGGTAAGACTAATTGGCCTATAGTTTCCCGGGTTCTTCTTCCTCCCTTTTTTGAAGATGGGAACCACGTTGGCCCTCTTCCAGTCCTCTGGCACCACACCAGAGCACCACAAGTGCTCATAGAGCTGTGCCAGGGGTCCCGCAATGACCTCACCTAATTCCCTCAGCACTCGGGGGTGGATATCGTCCGGACCAGCTGATTTGAATACCTCCAGTCCTTCCAGAAGTTCCCTAACTAGTTCCTCACTAACCGTTGGCCTAGGTGCGCCTCCCCTGGGGCTTAAGGGGGGCCCCGAGGGCAGGGGTGGCTGTTCCAGTCCCTGCTCAGAAAAATGGAGGCAAAGAAATTGTTAAATAAGTTAGCTTTTTCGTCTGGTGTGACAACCATGATGACCAGATTTCCTAATGTGTCTTGCATGGGCCCCATGTTACCTGGTACCTTCTTTTTGCCCCGTATGTATTTTTTAAAAAAGGACTTCATTGTCCTTGATCTGGGAAGCTAGTCCCAGTTCCATCTCCACCTTGGCCCTCCTGACCCCCCTGCCCCCATCCCTGAGCAACTGCAGTATAGTCCTCCCTGGTGATGGCCCCTCCCTGCCATTGGGTATGCGCCTCCCTTTTAGCTAGGAGACATTCCATTTATTTATTTAGTTTTAGCTAGGAGACTTTCATTGTCCATCTCTGCAGTACTGCAGCCTTGTGAGTCCCTCCCCACTTTGCATTTGTGCCTTTCAGCATATGCTGCCAAATCGGCTATTTGAGGAATGAAGGGTTTGTCCACCCTGTATCTCTGGCACTGCCAATCCCCCACTCACATGTGTTAAAACTAAATATGCAGCAGTGAAGCTGCTCCAGGGCACACCCAAAGTTGTTCTCGGCCTCTGCAAGCAGGCCAGAGACGGTGGGATACAGGGTCATTTCTAAAGCCGCTTCACCGCCGCAAGTTGACCCTAGGTGAGTGGAGTGTGCCCAAGAGTGGATGGCCCTGGCAGTGCTGGGAATGCACTGTAGACATACCTCGAAGGACCTGAATCCTGAATAGTGAGGTACAGCATTAGACTCCATTGTTTCAATGACCACGGACTGGATAATGAGGCCATGTGAAATTTCCTTTTGACATATTGTTCCTGTGGTGTGCTAGAAGGTGTGAAATTCATTTCTCTAAACCTTAGAAATGCCGTTCATCTTACAGAATTTTTTTGTACTTTGCTGCTGCCTGTTGGAAATCACTGAAAAGAAGGAATGCATTATGTTTGGGGGGCGGGGGGTTCCCCTCTCTTCCTGTAATAAAAACTGCCTCATCTTCAGCAGGAAACTTCTGACTGGTGAACAATTTATCACTTTGTATTGTAGTAACATCTTAAACAGCCCCACTGGAGTGCTTATATTAACTGTTCAGGGTAAAAATGCACCTTTTTTTGAATCAAACAATAAAAAGCACTCTAAGGTTATGATCCTGCCAACAAATGGGGAGGAGGGGGGGCAGGATGTGCATGTGTGCAGCTATGCATAAAGCCAAACCAGTGGGCTTCACTTTTAACCAAAAGTTGTGCTTTACCAGATATTCTTCTTCTATTGATGACATATTAGAAGAGGAAGAGCATTATGCTGATCAACTAAAGGAATATCTCTTCTATGCTGAAGCATTGCGGTATGTATCTTGACATCCAGTTCTCTCTTTCTGTTATTGAAATGACATGCTTCTGCAGAGTTCAGTCTGTCATTGGACCCTTTACAACTGTTATGCTAAAGAAAATGTCAACATGTTCACTTTGTGAAGAGTACAGATGCCTTGCATTTTTTTTAACTTACTTTCACCTTTTGATTACTCTGTAAAGCAGTTAGAGCTGAACACAGCTAAAGTGGTAAGTACTTGAATGGGAACCTTCATGTCCATCCCAGGATTAGTGTTGTGTGTCTGCTGGACCATGCTCTTCCCTCCGAATTGGAAGTAATCGGTGTCACAGGGTACATTCTTGCTGGAATACTTTTTTTCAGGAGCTTACACTTTTATGGGTACTCAGTTTTCTGTGGTATGTTGTTTTTGAACCGTCCTGAACACCTAGTTGAAGTCGAGGCCTCCTGTTTGCCCTAAAATAGTGCCATTACTGTGGA